GTGCCGCCGGCTGCCTGCGGCGGGCTGGGTGGGGGGGTGCCGTGTTTGCTGCAGCTGCCTTGCTCAGCAGGGTGAAGGACACACCCCGGGGGGCAGGGAGTGTGAGGCAGGCTGAGGGGATCCCAGCGGGAGCTCCCATTTCCCTCTCTGGGTCCCTATTGCAAACACGGCTCTGTCTACACCCACGATGGGCGCCACCCCCTAAAACTGTCAGACCCCTTGGTCCTCGCTGGTCGGAGGCCCCCGAGATATCTGTGGGACCCTGAATGCCCTAGGGGGGCAGGCGCTCTGTGGTCTGGTTAGTGCTGGGGAGGTCCGTGCTGGACACACATGCGCCCTCGCACCATTTTAACACTTTAAAATGAAATGAGGTTCAAGAAGGACAAGTGGGGGTTTCTCTGCTTGCTTCCCTCAGCATTTCTTAGCCCCAGGCCCACAAATGGCTACGTGGAAATCGTGTTAGGCCTCGGCCTACGTGTCTGCTGTGTCGGCCCTAGGTACTGAGAGCCCCCCCCAATCTGGATTTTGTACCTCACTGGTGGCAGCCCGAGGGCCCCTGGCACAGAAGGGAATGGGGGGCACAGAGGGGAGGAGAGATGGGGGGCACAGAACCTCTGGCCTGGGAAGGGAGAAGGGCTGGGCACCAGCACAGGCTCCCAAATTCTGTGGGGGGAGCCCTGAGCTTCCGGGGCCAGATCCAGGCAAGTTGGGGGCCACATCAGGGCCCCGGGCCTGAGGTTCCCCACCCTGGTTTAAGGGGTCACTAACCCCTCCCCCTCCCACTGGGCCTTGCCCCGAAGCTCCAGTCCCAGATGCCCTGCGTCTCTCTCGGCCAAGCCAGGTTTCACTCCCGGTTCCAGCTGTTGCCATTCCCGGAGCTGCCCTGGGTCACTGACCTGCAGGGCAAACAGCCCCCAGGGGAGCGGGATCCGCGTTATCCTTCCAGGGCTCTCAGGGGCGGCACCAGGCGACCATGAGTCACTGCCCTCTGGCTCCTGAGCGTCCGTCCCGTGAGCTCTGCTGCAGGCTGGCTCCCAGGTCCAGGGAAATGAGAGAGCTGGACGGGGGTTTGGCGCAGGGCCAGCGGTGTGAGCCCAAAGACCATGCAGGCGCAGGGCAGCAGCTGTGACATGCTGATATAGAGGCTGGGTGGGACCAAACGTTAAGTTTTATAATGTGTTCAACTGTTGATATGGTTTAGTTTTAAGCGTCTCTCACTGTTTTCAGCAAGACACATTTCCCCAGGTTTGTCAAACTGTAGGATTGGAGCGGTTTCTGTTTTGATGTGAATTTCCACGTAAGTTATTTTTTCAAATTGTATTCATTTCAGTTCCCAGAAGGGCGTCCGTACGGGCTTTGTAGCATTTTATCTGGTTGCTGTTTAAATTCCCAAACCTGTGTAAAATCCTGGGCTTTCAGCATTTTTTAGTTGAATTTTCACAATTGTGCAAAAGGAAAGTTCTAAGCATTGTTTTCCAGTTGATATCCATTAAGTCCCCACAGTTGTTGCAAACATTGAGGCGACGTCTACGCTGGCATGATTTTCCGGAAATGCTTTTAACTGAAAAGTTTTCCGTTAAAAGCATTTTCGGAAAAGCGCATCTAGATTGGCAGGACGCTTTTCTGCAAAAGCACTTTTTGAGGAAAAGTGAGCATGGCTAATCTAGACGCACTTTTCCGCAAAAAAGCCCCAATCGTCATTTTCGCGGTCGGGGCTTTTTTGCGGAAAACAAATCTCTGCTGTCTACACTGGCCCTTTTGCACAAAAGTTTTTCAGAAAAAGACTTTTGCCCAAACAGGAGCAGCATAGTATTTCCGCAAAAGCACTGACAATCTTACATGAGATCGTCAGTGCTTTTGCGGAAATTCAAGCGGACAGTGTAGACAGCTGGCAAGTTTTTCCACAAAAGCAGATGATTTTGCAGAAAAACTTGCCAGTCGAGATACAGCCTGGTGGTTTTTAGGCATTTTTCCCATTTAGCTCACCACAATTGTGAAAAATCCTGGGTTTTAAGCATTGGGGTGAGGGGGAGGGGGCGTTCTGCATTTTGCTCTACTTCAATGTTCATGCTTGTGAGAAATTGCAGATTCTACTATTTTTGTTTTAACTTTTAATCCATAGAATCATAGAATCATAGAGCTGGAAGAGACCTCAGAAGGTCGTCAAGTCCAGCCCCCTGCCCAAGGCAGGACCAATCCCAACGAAATCAACCCAGCCAGAGCTTTGTCAAGCTGAGACTTAAAATCCTCTAAGGATGGAGATTCCACCACCTCCCTTGTAACCCATTCCAGTAGTTCACCACCCTCCTACTGAAATAGTTTTTCCTAATATCCAACCTAGACCTCCCCCACTGTAACTTGAGACCATTGTTCCTTGTTCTGCTACCTGTCACTACTGTGAACAGCCTTTCTCCACCCTCTTTGGAACCTCCCTTCAGGAAACTGAAGGCTACTATAAATCCCCCTCTCACCCTTCTCTTCTGCAGACTAAACAAACCCAAATCCCTCAGTCTCTCCTGATAGGTCAAGTGCTAGCCCCCTAATCATTTTGGTCACCCTCCACTGGACCCTCTCCAATGCGTCCACATCCTTTCTATAGTGGGGGGCCCAGAACTGAAGACAATACTCCAGATGTGGCATCACCAAAGCCAAATAAAGGGGGAAAATCACTTCTCTAGATCTGCTTACAATGCTCTTCCTAATGCAACCTAATATGCCATTAGCCTTCTTAGCTACAAGGGCACTAATATCCACTGTTGACTTATATCCAGCTTCTCATCCACTGTAATTCCCACGTCATTTTCTGCAGAACTGCTACTTAGCCAGTTGGTCCCCAGCCTATAACAATGCTTGGGATTCTTCCATCCCAAGTGCAGGACTCTGCATTTGTCCTTGTTGAACCTCATCAGATTTCTTTTCTCTTCAGTTCATCTGTAGAAGTGTATTTTGACCATGAAAGCTCATGATACTATATATTCTTTTTGTTAGTCTCTAAGGTGCCGAAGGATTACTCATAGCTTTTAAAGTTACAGACTAACATGGCTACCACTCTGGTAGTTTAGTTGGTTATCTTCCCTTACCGCATTTCTAAATGTGGCCAAATCCCCCACCTAAATGAAAAACATTCATATAACCATCTCATTCATTTATGAAAAAGCAGCTAAGCAGGAATCTGTGCAGTAGACTTACGTCATGAAGTGCAGCACTTAGCAAAACCTTTATAAACTATAATGTCTAGAGGAAAACTGCTACTTCAATTAATGTGTGATTAGGGAAAGGTGACATTTTGGTGGTCTGGATTTTGCTTTTGCTGAGTTTCAGAAAAACAATAAAATATGTCCAACAACAGTATAAAACGATGAGAAAGTAAACACATGTTTACTTACAAGTCCTTCTTAAAGGTGTTTGGTGAATAATAATGGGTGAAAATGATGTACCTCTTGGTGGCTGTGGAGGATCTTGTTTATTAGGGTCATGAAAATCACCCCAAGTTGGCTGAAGCTAAAACACAAATATATTTGATCTCTCATTTCCATAGTACAACAGTTCAAGGATGAATCTAATACAACCAGTAACATAAAACAAAAAAACAGAATGCAAGACCTTTGTTTGTATGCTATCAAAAGTAGCTTTCCAACTTGCCATTTTCATGGTATATTAATCAATAGTTTGTTTACTCTTTATCTCGGTGTCAAGACATGTTCTTAACTCTATCATGATCTTACTCTAGTATTTCTGAAAGGTAGATAACATTGCCCTCACAAGTGGTACATGTTCTCCAGTTCCGACTTACATACAGATTCAACTTAAGAACAAACCTACAGTCCCTATCTTGTACGTAACCCGGGGACTGCCTGTACTACTTAAATGGTTGGTCCCCAGCTTGTACCAGTGCTTGGGATTCTTCCGTCCCAAGGGCAGGACTCTACACTTGTCCTTGTTGAACCTCATCAGATTTCTAGTGGCCCAATTCTCCAATTTGTCTAAGTCACTCTGTACCCTATATCTGCCCTCAAGGGTACCTACTTCTCCCCCCAGCTTAGTGTCATCCGCAAACTTGCTGAGGGTGCAATCCATCCCCTCATCCAGGTCATTAATAAAGATGTTGAACAAACCAGTCCTAGAACTGAAACTTGGGGCACATCCTGACATGGAGCCGTTGATCACTACCCGCTGGGCCCGGCCTTCTAGCCAGCTTTCTATCCAACTTACCATCCATTTATCCAATTCACATTCCCTTAACTTGCTGGCAAGAATATTGTGGCAGACGGTATCAAAAGCCTTGCTAAAGTCAAGGTATATCACATCCACTGACTTTCCCACGTCCACAGAGCCTCATAGAAGCTAATCAGATTGGTCAGGCAGGACTTTCCCTTTGTGAATCCAAGCTAAATGTTCACGCATGTGTGAAAACTCCGGGTGGTGTTGCACAACAATTATTAAATGAGACCCTGAGATGCAGAAAGTTGAAGCTTTATTAGAACCTTGAACTGTCAATCTCACCTGTCCAAGTCTACAAAGTAAATAGCCTTAAATGAAACCGAGCCTTAGCACAATTTAGTTCCATCCTGTCTCTGACACTGGCCTGTTGACTGACCTTGGGTGAGTCACCTTACCATTCT